GTCACTGGAGCAAGCAAGCCTCCCTGCTCGCTTCAGTGCGTGGCTGCCGGCCGCCATCTTGGCTGACAGTTAATTTGCATAAGGATATGCTGATTAGCCAATGGGAAGGGTAGCGGTCGTACGCTAATTACCATGTTTCTCTTTTATGAGTGTAGATATTTGATAGCTGGTTCCAGTTTGGTCACTCACTCGTTCTTCTATTCCTTCAACAAATCAATTTTGAGCACGTACTGTATTCTGGGCATCGTGGGTTCAATGGTGAGCAGAGCAGATACCAGCCTGCCCTCATGGAACTCCTTGAAATAAAATAAAAGGAAACACAAAATGCTTTATTGCTTGTCCTAGAGTAATATAGAGGTCATACCTACAACAGTCAGGAGCAGCGTGGGGAGGGAGCTTAGCAAAAACAATGTTGGAGAAACTGGGGTACTAGTTGTGCCATACCGGACTCATCACACATCACTCTTGCCCCCGTAGCTGCTGTCTCTGTGGGGGATTTCCTCAGTTTCCTTCTGCACTACCTGGAGGTCAGTGGCAGGGAACAGACTTTCTCAGCATCGTGGAGGAAAGACAAAATGGACATAGGAGCTTAGCCAGTGAGTAGGACTGTTGTCGACTCCTCACCAGTGAAAATTAGTCTGTCCCAACCCCTGGGTATGGCAGCTTGAGCAAACAGCATATACCCTGCGCCATAGGTGGTTTAATTAGTTCCAAGATTGAGCAAAGTTTTGTGTGTGTGTGTGTGTGTTTGAAGGTTTCAAATATACTTTATTTCTCTAATCATGCCATATTTTAATGGGTACACAGTGCTTTCACTTGCCATGACTTATGAGTTGGTTTTGAAACAATTCATTATCACACCAACTGGGGTGATTACTAGTCTCTCCATTCCTTTGGGTTGACTCTGCCAACAGGGGACAGGTCCCATTCTATTCCAATGTGCGTTCCTGTCAGGTGCAGCTTGATCCCAAGCCCTGGTTGGGGAGCATGCAGGAAGCAACCAATCAATGTCTCTCTCACATCATTGCTTCTCTCTCTGTGTCTCTCCCCCTCCTTTCCAGTCTCTATATGTCCATGTAGCAACACAGACAGTGGCTCCACTAGCTAAAATAGCATTGCCATCCTTGTCATGGAAATCAGGTGTCCTTTTCTGGTGGACCTGCCTTGCCATTGTTTGCTGAATGCTTCGAACTGGGAGAAGACTTAGCGCGTTTTTGGCCAATGGAAACATCGAGAAGCTGAAGACACTGGGGCAACTGCAGCTGCTGGTTGTTGGAACTTGGAATCAAATAACCTTGCAGAGAAACCTCTGAGCAAATGTTTGTTTGTTTTTTTGTTTGTTTCTTGTTTTGTTTTTTTACTTATGAGTTGGTTTTGAAACAATTCATTATCACACCAACTGGGGTGATTACTAGTCTCTCCATTCCTTTGGGTTGACTCTGCCAACAGGGGACAGGTCCCATTCTATTCCAATGTGCGTTGCTGTCAGGTGCAGCTTGATCCCAAGCCCTGGTTGGGGCGCATGCAGGAAGCAACCAATCAATGTCTCTCTCACATCATTGCTTCTCTCTCTGTGTCTCTCCCCCTCCTTTCCAGTCTCTATATGTCCATGTAGCAACACAGACAGTGGCTCCACTAGCTAAAATAGCATTGCCATCCTTGTCATGGAAATCAGGTGTCCTTTTCTGGTGGACCTGCCTTGCCATTGTTTGCTGAATGCTTCGAACTGGGAGAAGACTTAGCGCGTTTTTGGCCAATGGAAACATCGAGAAGCTGAAGACACTGGGGCAACTGCAGCTGCTGGTTGTTGGAACTTGGAATCAAATAACCTTGCCGAGAAACCTCTGAGCAAATGTTTGGTTTTTTGTTTGTTTGTTTGTTTGTTTTGTTTTTTGGGGGGAGGGGCAGAGAGTCAAGCCATAGGGGTAAGTTGTCTGAAATTAATCTGCTTTATAGTGTAAGGATAGGCTAGGAATTGCTCTCTAATTTTCAAACTTCAGTTATACTCAGGCCACTAGGTGGAGAAGCTGAGCTATGGAAGTGTTAGCTACTAATCACGAAAATTTCCTATGATTGTGTAAGGTGGCAGAAAAGAGCAGGACATTTATATTATACATATTGATCACTACGAAACCGACTCTGGACTAGATAATCTACCTCCTATCCACAAATAAAAGTATAGCAACACATACATCCCACACAAAGAAGCCAAAATAACAAATCTTTGAATATTACAGTCTTTCTTTATTCTCCTCAGTGCATAAGCATACCCCAGTGCCTAACACTTAGGAGAAACTATATAAATTGAATTGGAAATAAAAGCCTGGATATTTGCAAGCTGTTGTCTTTCCTTCTAGTTGAAGAGTCTCTCCTCATGAGCTGGAATTTTTAAATTTCCTTAAATTTAAAAATTTTAAATTTCCTATCCTTTTAAATTTACTTTCCCACCCATTACCTTAGAGAATCAATGGTCACTGCAAATTCTGTCTTGCTATATCTCCAAGGTTGAAGGATAATACATATAATCAGAATAACCATTTGCTGAGAGCTTTCTATAATCCATATACTATGTTAAATGCTTTGGATGTTTATTGTCCTGCTAGGGAGATAAGCTTGGCTTTGAACTCTGATCTATATCACTCCAATGTGTCTGGAAAGGCTGAAACATTTGCATGATTGGAGTGTGTCATGGTTTTCCAGATCTTGAGTGGTTTTCAAACTCCCAGCTGGCTTCAGCTGCTGAGGCAGGTTAGTTGCGTGATTATTTGAGCCCCTTCAGGCTCAAAGAACTGGACAGTATGAATCTAGCTCTAGCCTATTCCTTTTCAGATTTTTGTGGTTAGCGAAGGAAGCTGGGAGAGCTACTCACGCATAAGGACGAAGCTGTTGGGACATTTAATGGTAGGAAAGGGACTGGTTTATTTAAGAGTTCTTGTAGGGTGAGGAATCCAGTCACTTAGCTAAGACTTCGCTATTCTGCTTCCCTCCAGAAAGTACATTGAGACGGGAAGCCTGCGGGGTGGATAATGTTGAGAGATCTCCTGAGTGTATTTTTTTGTTTATTCCTGGTGCAGAGTATGAGCTGATGAGGAGTCTTGGCTCATTTCGGAGAGTCCTGTGTCTAAAAACAGTGACTATTAATTGCTGATATTCCTCATTCAGGAGCTTTTGGTTGTAAAGAGGAGGAAACAGCAGAGTTCCAGGATCTCTCTGTCAGCGGTTCTCAACCTGTGGGTCATGACCCCTTTGGGGGTCGAACGACCCTTTCACAGGGGTTGCCTAAGATCATCAGAAAGCACATATATAATTACATATTGTTTTTGTGATTAATCACTATGCTTTAACTATGTTCAATTTGTAACAATGAAATTTGGGGGTCACCACAACATGAGGAACTGTATTAAAGTGTCGCGGCATTAGGAAGGTTGAGAACCACTGCTCTAAGTGAACTCTGGGGCTGGGATTTTGTCTCCTGATGGAAGAATGTTAGCATATAGCTCCACCGACTTGCCAGGAGCAGGAATGACATTGAGGGCTACTTCATGACAAGGGAACTTTTTGGAAACAAAATGGGACTTTGTTTAGCTCACTGACAGGGCTTCTCCTGATGGAACTGGCAGATGGATGTTCCAGCACTTCCCTGTCATTGTTTGGGCCACGGAAAAACCTTGGAAAGAATGTCTCTTCCTTTGTAAAGTTTCCTGTTTCTTATCAGTAAGACTAACAGGATATAGAAGATTAAATATCTGGAGGAAAATGAAAACCAGGTTTAATCACTGTAAAAGTTAAAAGCTAAATTATATTTAAAAAATCTCAAGGACTAAAGGACTAAAGAAAATCTTTTATCTAAAAATTTAAAGGCAGACAGTGCTCTGGGCTTTGTGATGGAGTACGTTTCCTCAGAAGAGTCAATGGAAGTGAGATCAGTGCCCTCCTCAGGCCAAAGTCTGTGCATCACATTCTTTCAGATGAAGGAGAACTCTGGGCACAAAGGTATCCTGCTGACGAGGGCGGGTACACACCAGGCATGCTGCTGATTACCTCGAAACTCTGCCTTGTTCAGGGGTCTTTCCCCACATGAAAATGTTTACATTCCAGGACCTGAACCTAGTCAGGCACTGACTGGGTGATGATCATTTGTAGTGTGCGGCCTCCTCCTCTCCAGTGGCTTACATTTCCAAAATAAAATCCGGAGAACTTAAAAAGCATTGCAAATTGCATTGAGTGTGCTTAGAGGATTAGAGTCCCAGTGTCATCACATCTGAACTCCCTAAGCTCCATGGCTTTCTCTGGGGAATGGGGCAATGACAGTACTCACCTCCTGAAAGGTCATGGGGTGACGGGCCCAGTTAAGGAAAGCAAAACCCTCAGGAGAGAGTCGGTGCATGCTGAGCTCTGTGAGTGGCAGCTCCCACAGTGGAAAGAACTACTCCCAGGGCTCCACTCTCCATGGCCCTAACCCTCCTGGCCTGACACCACTTCCTCCTCCATTCTGCTGAGGTGGAGTGGCTGATCAGATTGATGAATTTGGAAGCAGAATTCTTTGTCCAACCTTTCTTCCCGGTTTCTTTTTGAAGAGAAACTGCCCTTGGAAGTTTTGTATTTTCTGCTGTTCTCAGCTATGTAGTAAGTTTAATGATAAATGCCTACTGTGGTCAACGTGTCTGATTCTGGAGGTCAGAAGGCAACCATATTCTCTCTGTCAGCTCAGCCACTAATAAAGGTGTGTGTGTGTGTGTATGTGTGTGTGTATGTGTCTGTGTGTGTGGTGAGGGGGAGGGGTGTGTGTGTGTGTGTGTGTGTGTGTGTGGTGAGGGGGAGGATTGGATGCATGGGTGTGTGTTTTAGTCTCCAGCTGTCTTCATCTTGTGTCTTAATTTTCAGTTGGTTCAGAACTCAGGAGAGGAAGAGTGCTCATCGAGGGGATCCCTCCAACGCTGAAAGAGCTGCTAGCTGCTGTGTAATTATCTCTGGGAAAAAATGGTTGAGGTTAGTTTTGGAGAGAAGTAATAGCAGTTTGATTTGGCTTTCCCAAAAGAACAAACCAAATTATCTACTCCACAAGGACATCTCATAAATGGAGCCTCCAAACTTGGCTCCGAAAATGTGCCTCCCACCTGTTGCAGCAAGAACAAAGTTTGGAATAACACTCAGATTTCCCAAACTGAATGCAGGGATGATCCTGAAGATATATATTAATTCTTTAGATATTTATTTAGTACTTATCACATTGGGAGGATATCTACACTAATAAAAGAGAAACATGCAAATTGGTGTCACTCCGCTACCCTTCACATTGGCTAATCAGGACGATATGCAAATTAACTGCCAGGCAGCTTGAAGCGAACATGAGGCTTGCTTGCTTCAGTGACGGAGGACTCCAACGTTCCCCGCCTGCCGCTGCCGGCCTCTGAGCTTGAAGTTTGAAACATTGTTACAAATATAGAAGCTAAACAAAACCCCAGAAACCTGCTTTCAGCCAGCTGGGATCTCAGAGCTGGAGTTGAAACAGTGTTTCGATTATAGAACCCAAACAAACCAGATACCTGCTTTCAGCAGCCGAGGCCTAAGAGCTGGAGCC